AAACGAGATCTAATCAGTTAGATCGTTGTCCTTCTCTCATTCTTGTTCCGAATTTTATGTGCTGAATGCGATATTCATTCAGGGAGAGTTGTAGTAGCTTGCGGTCAAATGCCGTGGACGGGGCGTTTGTTAGGGGAATGTTCCAGTCTATTCCTGTAGCGTTGAAGTCACCCAGAAGTAGTAAGTTCTCCTTCTTGCATATCAACTCCACTGCTCTAAGTAATTCCATATCGGCGATTTCATTGGAGCTAGGTGGCCGATAGACAACACACAGGTTCAGTGTCGGTAATTGTTTGATGCATATCTTGCATGAAATTATTTCAAAATGTCGGGGCGCACCATCGGATATTTCTCGCTGACAGCACGCAATTTCATTTGACACATAAATAGCTGTGCCTCCACCTCTACGGTGAAATCTGTCTCAACGGAACAGTTGGTAGCCTTCAATTCTGACTTCGCTACTACTAATTTACTCAGTCAACCATGTCTCTGTTAGGACAATTATGTGTGGCTTCTGTTCAGATACTAGTAATCTGAGTTCATCTAGCTTGTTGAGAAGACTCTGACAGTTAGTGGAATAGATTTCTAGGCAGCGGCCACTGGTTCGAGCAGCCTCAGGAGTTGGCACGTTTGTATCGGTTAGGCTGTCAGAATGACGGCCTTCGGCAAGAGACATGTCCTTTGGACCTGAATTATTTGTCCATTTTTGATTTGTAGGTGTGTTTCGCCGCTGTTTTTCCGCTTTTCCAGCTCGCCATCAGCTGTCTCATTTTCATTCGCTCTTTTGGCTCGTAATCCGGCTGAAAAAAAACTTCAGGATGCTGACCCCGTAGAGATGATTTTCTCTGTAACAGAAGCTGGGCCTGTGCTTCAGTCTCCAAAATGAATTTTAGGGGTCGAGACCGGGAATTGGAACCGGATGCTGACTGACTCTTCCCTATTAGGAATGCTTTGAGAACACTTAATGACTCATCGTCTCTTAACAAAGTTGTCGCATACACTTGAAGAAGGTCTAAGTCATGCTTAACTCTCTCCTTTGGAACTGCTGCCGTTGAGTCGCGTACTCCTTGTATAACTACATTTTGCTGGCGACTGAACCTAGTGCTCGTTGTTGTCACTCATCTTTTGAGTGACTGAGCGTTCATCTCCAGTTTACTAGTTTCGATGGTTTCGGATGAACTAACTATTGGGCTAGCGAAACTGACATCCGTGTACGATTCATTTATATTCCTGTTGATAACCCTTCCTTCTGTGTTTCCGAGGTGTTCGTCGAAATGTTTACCTCAGTTTCTTTCGAAACCTCCTCCTGAATATTCGGTCCACAAGGTGTTCCGATATCTTTATTGTTCAACATATTTGGGAGCCTCTGGCGGTCCTTCGTAGGCCTCCTGGTCGTTCTCCTTCGCTGGTCTGCGTGTACGTAGGCGGCCTTCGTTTTTTGGACCGTACAGAGGTGCGCGTTGTTTTGTGGAATGTTTCTTTGTTATCTGTTTGGCTGGTCTTTTTCTGGCCTAAGAGACTGACATTCAACTGTGTCTAGTTCCCTGGACGAACATTCGTCAGTTTCAGCGTTTGATATGGCTAAAGAAGCCGTGGTTGCATATGCTTTTTTTCGGATTTTGAATTGCCGAATTAGTCAGCTTCTTCTCTTCACGTAAGTGGTGAGTAAGTTGCCTTAACTTTTCTACCTCCATTTTTAGACCTTTTAACTCCCCCTCCATTTTTGAAAACTTATGGATGAGTCCGAAACATGTGGTGCAGATTTCATCGTCGTATGTGACATCCCCCAACGTCACTAGACTTTTTGCGCGTTTTATGGGCATTAGTTTGACAGCAGAACGTCTAACACTACAGTCATTAATATCATGCATAATACAAAATGTACTATTATTTTTGACGACGTTGGCGCGAGTCAGTGGCAACGAGTCTGCGGTAACGACAGTTGTCTGTCCGACCGATGGACCGAGTTCAAATCCCGCCTTGGCATACATTTTACACCGTGTTTTGAGGGCATTTCTCTGAATAACATTACCGAGTTAACAAGTTTCAAGCGGTTTTCTTAAAGGCATGGCACGAATTTTCAACCAGATCGAGGATATGCGATAAACGACTCAGCCTTTCGTAGGTTTTGGGGATTGCTCCGTGCTGTTGCATGGAGGCGACTGGACGAAGATAGGTTATCCCTCACAAGTTCTGGTGTGGTCGGAAGGAAATCGGTTTTCCGAACGAGACTCCCGTTGAAATTCTGTGAGAATCGAGATATTGCTATGAAGAATCGACTTGAAAATTCCGAGAGGCCGTCAGGGTGTCCAGGACTCAGGAGACTCGGAAAAGTTAAATCCCTCGGAGGCCGAAAATTTCAAACCGAATTCAAAAGACGCGGTCTTAGTTTTTTTTTGATACGGACACATTTTCAACCAACTATAATGTTCGGGCCATCTGCATCTGTATTATCCCATGATTGAAGGCTGTCTAATGGCAAACTGCATTCAATGACATCTTAGAAAATAAAGTGTGGTTTACAGGTATCATGCGATAGATGCTACCAAATCGCGAATACCCATGGTATGAAACGGCAGCTCCTTATGCCTGCCGTAATCTCTTTCATATCCAGCGAATGTGGATAGATCAAGTAGGCCGAACGAGGATTCCGACGTCTCCATTTGTAATGCATATTCTCCGCCGTGTCCGAAAACATGTAGATTCGTCGATGTCAAGGAAGCCGTCAGATTCTTTGACCAAAGACCCGCCGGTAGGCACTTCTGCTACTGACGTGGCCGTCATGCTCAGCCTACAAGTAAAACGCATGTGGATGCTCTCGTTAGACGTTTCATCACTGTAAGTAACTGTGTAAGGGTACAGGGATACCATAATAGCAGCACAGATATTACGCGGTTACCCGATTTGGATAAAACACAAACGCAAAGGTCTACAGAATGCTTTCGGGAGACGTCATCTAGGAGGAGCATAGAAAAATCCAATAATTGCTACGCACAAAACGGGCATCCAGATAGAATTATTGTAAGGAATATTACCAAGCGACCGCAAAAACACGCCATGCTGACCGCCGAAAATCAATTCAGGTTTCCCAAAGCCCGTTTAAAGAAAACGCTGCGAGCGAGCTTCTTGGGAGTAACCTAGATCAAGCTGTCAACGAAATTTTCCAGTAAAACGGGTTGAATTATTATTTATTGCGTACCCTATCTTCCATGAACCGGAGACCATCTGCTGATATGCACGGCTTTTTAGATCCCTGGTAACTGAGTTTAGATTTTGATGTGTCTAAACAAACAATCGCTTTAGCGTACTTCTCCTGTTTGTTTTCGAGCAACTGTGCAACAGTTGGAGTTTGTCTGTGGGTAGGCAAACATTATGGGACACGGTCTCGGATGGATTTTCTGATGACTTTGTTGTTGTAGTTGACACAAGCGTTGATTAGGGATTTGTAATTAAGTCCACCGAAACGGCATTTGGAGCGCCCAAACGTCTTTTTTGTCGTGGTTATCGTAGCTCCTGATATGTTGTCTGATTGACATAATGCCCAGGAAAATTAGAATTGCAACACTAAAATCTTGTTAATCATTGTTTGCTCTTTCCAGAATATATCAATAGACAGGCCAGAGTTACTCAATCGAAGGCCGAGGGCACAAGCTGAGCGCAAGGAACGAAACGCTTAATGCAAAACATAGGGTTTGGACTTAGCTGATCGAAATCCTAACTCAAGCCCTGTTCTTACCAGAGTCCTTTGTCAACATACGTTTATCAAACTGTGCAGACTACCTTTTAAATTGAAATAGTAAAAGACTGTAAATATGTAGGCATCAATGCCGATTCTGCCAGTACCTATAAGCAAATCCAGTCTCGAATAGTATCAATATCAGTCACTATCAGTATATTTCAGGGAAAGTAGGTGTGTACCTTTGAAATCCCTATTGGCTACATGCAGAGGATATATATGGAGGAAATGGAAAGAAAGTAACATGAAGGAAATGCTAGGGGAATAACAAAAACTGTACAGATGAACACATAATGTCATGCGCTAACAGAATTTAGAGGCACATTAACTTGCATTGTTGATCAAATACCGCGGACAGTTGAGGCAGACTTAAGATACGGGAAAATAAGTAAACATGTTTAGTCTACAGGCATCGTGGTAAATGGGAGCAGGGGTGTAAGAAGTGGCCTAAAGGTAATAAATTACATAAACATGTACTACTGAATTGTCGATAGTAGCAATGTAATAACACTACTTTATCACCTTCGGCTGTCAGTGTGACCGTAGTCCGGCGTCATCGTGGTGCGCGCTCCAATGCTAATCTAGGGTCCGTTTAAACTATCTACGGAGCCCGACATAAAAACATCATCAGGCAAGGCATTCCAAGCTGCAACCACTCTGTTGGAGTAGAAGAACTTTCGAGTGTCTAGCCGGGCACCAGACACACGCAGTTTGAGTTGATGGCCTCTCAGGTTAGGCGTAGTCGCCAACTCGAAGAAGTTGCCAGATGCGAGGCAGCAGCCCTGAATGCGCACGATGCGGAAAACTTGTATCAGGTCCCCACGTAGCTGTCTGAAACTCAAAAGCAAGAGGTCAAGATTAGCTAATCGTGTTTCGTAGGGTAGTGACCACTGCCCAGATACAAGTTTCGTTGCTCGCCGTTGAATTTTGCCGAGTATGCCAAAGTCTTTAGCGGTCCAGGGTCTCTATGCTTAAATAGAAAACTTCAGGTGCGGTCTCTCGCAAGTTTGAAAGACCTTGCCGAAGCAGTCTTCATCAAAGGAGAAGAACGCCCGTTTGACGAGGTATAGAAAGGACATATCGACTTGGCTAACTTAGAGGATTGCAGCGAAGGCTTAAGCGAGGTTATGATCCATACGCCTAAGTCCTTCTGGGCGTCGACGTCTTGCAGTGGTTTGCCAGTCAGACGGTAGACCGTGTGGTTATCAGAACTGGTTCTGCGGCCGCGTAGAAAATTACACTTGTTTACGTTAAACGGTAGAAGTCAGTCTTTGGACCATTGCTCGAGGTGGTCCAGATTGGTCTGCAGTCGCGCCTCATCAACTTCACTTCGTAAGGTACTCCAGATCTTTATGTCATCGGCAAACATTGCGGCATCGCAAGTCAGTTCGTTTGCGCAGTCATTGAACTGTACAAGGAACAGTGTAGGGCCAAGAACAGAGCCTTGGGGAACACATTTCGTAACGGCAACCTCGGCAGATTGTTGGTCACTGACGTGGACAGCTTGAGAGCAGCCGATTAAAAAGCTCCGAATCCACATCAGAAGATAACCTCGCACTGCTCCACGGCTAAGTTTGTATAGAAGGCGGTGGTGAGGCACACTATCGGAGGCCAGTTTAAAGTCGGCATAGATGACATGCACCATATATCGCCTATCAACAACTCTAGTCCAGTGTTCCACACAGTAGAGCAGGTTTGTCACACAGGGTCTGCTTTTACGAATCCATGCTGAGAATAAGAAAGGATATGGTTTTTTTCAAGGAACTGTATTAATTGTTGCTTTATTATCTTCTCCATAATCCTACAGCAAATGGAGGTGAGGCTGACAGGTCTGTAATTGTTCGCAGAGACCCGACTTCCGCCCTTGTACAGCGGCGTAATCCACGTCGACTTCCAGCCGGGTGGCAGATATCCGGTCTCGTAGGATGTATGAAAAAGCATGGAGAGTGACTTAGACAACTCACCGGCGAGTTTCTTCCAAATCTTCGCCGGAATCTCATCGGGACCTGGTGATTTGGATTCCTTTAGCCTCAGCAACTCCGTCAGAACCATAAACTCAGTGAACTGGACGGTCTCTATAGTTAGGGTGTCTTCGAAGGATTGAAGGGCCGAAGGGTTGAATCCTGTTTCGCAACTAAAAACAGACCGAAACAATTCCGAAAGATGATCAGCTTTCGCCCTGTCGTCAGTGAGATGTTAGCCTTCAGCAGTCCTCAGCAGAGGTATTGTGTCCTTGTTCCGCGTGCACTGCCTTATGTAACCGTAGAATTATTTAGGGTTCTCCGCGGCACGATTAAGCAGATCCCGTTCTAATTCCCTTCTAGTTTTGAGGATAAGGCCCTTGACTCGATTTCTTTGCATTAAATACGCGCATATGGATGTGGGGCTCCTGTCAGAAAGCGATTTTTTCCACAGCCGTCGTTTTTTATTCACGTTATTCTTCAAGGCGTGCGTAAGCCATCGAGGTCTGCTAGCTAACCTCTTCCGTGAAAGTGGGCATTGGTTTACGGTCAGCTCTAGCAGGATTTCTCGGAACCGTTGCCAGTTTTCTACTATGCTCCCAAAAATATGGACTCCCACTCAATGCGTGAAATGTCAGCCTTCATTTGGTCGAAATCCCCGCGCCAAAGGTTTCTTGGGCATGGAAAACAGCGAGTAATCCCATAGAAGAACGTCGTGGTCACTTTTCCCAAAGGGGGGTAGGCATGACACCTTATCAATGCTGTCCTGTGACTTCGTAAGGACAAGATCAAGGCAGTTGGCTTGTTCGCCTTCGCGTACTCTAGTTGGTAATATGACGTGTTGTGTGAGAAATAACTTCAGTGCCGTGTTCAGAAAACCCCTATCGAAGTTCTGTTCTGAGCTATTTGCATGGGTCGAGCTCCAGTCAATATGAGGCGCGTTAAAGTCACCCATGATCCGGATATCCGGCCGCGTAGCGAACTTTTCGAGCTCCTCCAGCAGGCGAGCGTCGGCCATGTTGTCCCGTCTCGGCGGTCGATAAACTGTCAGGACATCGAGGCTAGGCGAGCTCGGCACTTTAATAGACAGCCAGATTGCCTCGGAACTGCACGAAAAGTTATCGGTCTTGTCTGATACATTTAGCCCATTTTTTACATACGTGAGTACGCCTCCTCCCTGACGCCATTCCCTATCCCTTCTACACATCTGGTAGCCAGGCAAGGCCAGCTCACGGTCGTCCACGTGTTGGGTCAACCAGGTTTCTGTTAAAAGTGATTACGTCAGGGAATAGGTCGCAGAGGTTGATCCTCAGCTCGTCGAACTTTGATAGCAAACTATGCACGCTGGTGTAAAAGAATTTCAATTTCCGGCTGACGAAAGATGTGGTTACACTTTGGTTAACGCCTTCACTTAATATGTCGGCTGCGCGGTCATTCGGACCGGACCTGTTCAAAGGAAGATTGACGGACGGCGCCGTACTTGGTTGTTTTATAAAACTAAATTGGTCTCCCACTCGCCTAGCCTCTTTCTTAGTTCTAGAACTAGCTGATTACGTTTGAGCCGTTCGGCTGGCAATTAGTTCGGTTAAAAAAAACACCTGTGTTTCAGTCTTAAATCCTGAATCGCCTGGAGTAAATGAGACTGGCTTGGTCGCTGCTGGCCAGCACAACTTTAAGAGGCCGGGGACGAGTAGACGTTGATGGATTATCTGCTCATTTTCCAAGGCGGAAGTCTTTTATCACTTCAATAGCCTCCGTGGTTTCCAAAATAATATTCAGAAGACCTTGGAAGAGTGATAGGTCTTCCGAAACCCGCTCTTTGGGAGTATTTGCACTTGATTGAGGGAGTCCCTGAATAATAAGACATTGTTCTCTGTCGGTCTCTTTTTTATTTTCTACTGAATTGTGCCTCCCTAAATGACGTAACGCTCTGGGACAACGTGCTGGTGATGGTGTGGCAGATGCGCTTACGCCGTCTGTCTGTTTGATTCTTATGCTGACAAACTTGGAAGAAGCACTTGGCAGAGAAGACTGCGGGGGAGAGAATTCTGTGGCTGTGATGGATGAATCGATTCCACCGCTCGTACTAGATTTATCAAACTCGGACTGCTTCTGATAGTCAGCAAAGGTGTTTTGACACACAGCAATCGCCATGATGTACGGAACATCTGTCAATGTCTCCGTTACGGCCGGAAGTAGCTGTCCGTTTTTCTCGGCCATTTTACAGTGTGATTTCTTTTTCTCTTCAGTTTTTGGGTTGACTTTCTGGTCGTTATTTTCACGCTTTTTAGATATTCCTTCTGGGGCCGCCGTAATAGGTGCTGGCGTGCGTATTATGCTGGAAGCTTTCGCCCTACGTCTGGTTACTCGTTCAGTAGGCATATTGATAGTGCTAGCTTGGTATAGAGTGCATCGTAACTGGGCTTTTATCTTTGTGATTTCTTCCTCAAGATAGTTGACCTTGGCGGCTAGATTCTGGCACCCACTGCAGCTTTGGCCTGCATTATCTGCGTCCATACAGTCAAGTAAACATCGCTCGCCGATGTGCTGCGGTGGCGTATGGGCTAGCGCACTTTACTAAGCAAGGATTGATCGGTGGATCGACTCCACACTCCGAGCCCATTTTGCGGACGTCAGTGCGTACTTCAGTCATGCCGTGAAGTTTTGGAAAAGGAACAGGCCACAGGAATCGAAGAAAAAAACGTCGCCTAGGGCCAACTAGGGAAAAGTGTGTGTATGGTTCAGTTTGTCGGAGAATCTCAAGAAAGCAATGCCTGGAGGACTTTTTAGCTAAGACTTTTTGGTAATATGCCAGGAGTACAAATCTAAGCAGCTCAACAAGCAGTGTAGAAATTATCGACTCAGCCTTAATTATGTCCTGTTCCAAAGGAAGGTGGACAATTCGAGACGATATGTAGGATTTGTAGGCTGTGTTGACTACGCTCAGATTGCCAGGTTTGCAGAAAATTGTCCTAGTCGCACGACGAGGACAACGATGACAGCAAGGTTGAGGGTAGTAGGCAACAATGCGTTTTAGAATCCAATTGCTGATGCCGGACCAACTCTTTCCAGGGAGAAAGTCGATTAAAAATGTCCTTCTTGCTCCTCAAAATTCGAACCGCGCGCGCTTTAGAGGCTTTGTTTCGAAAAGAAGGAACCTCCACAACGAGAACCAACAAAAGTATATTTTCTTTCAAATGGAAATCGCTTTCCAGTTTATTGTTTTTTAACGAGCGATTAAGTACGGAGTTCTCTAACGAAAGGAAAAGGTAAACCTAAAAATAAAGTTTAATGTGAGAAAATGTATAGAAAGTGTGCGGTTGATTTTTGCGTGATTGACTAATATTTCCACAAATTCGTAATCGCAACCCTAACCTATAACCCTAAACCAATAGAATAATTATATGAGTCCTATACGACATCTTCATAACGGCATGGAGATATGTGCAATATTTAATTTTGGAATATGTACAGCATGTACATTAGGCGGGCTAACTTATGGAATGTCAACCGAAATTCCAAAAGAACTTTTCGTTTCGAAACGATTTATTAAGTAATCTTGTAAAACTTGTTAGCCTGCAACATAATTCTATAATATTTCAGTCACTGCAGGATGCCGGCTTTCGAAATTACTTCCTTTGCGTGCATGCACTAACTGCATTCTGTTTAAAATAATTGCTTATTTAGCCTGACATTTTCTCAATGAATTAAGACGCCCATAAAAGTTCATTTATATTTCATGGTAAACATACACAAGAATATTCCGTATTTTGTTCATTCGGTCAGCAATTACGTCGGAAAAATATAATTCTTTTTTTCAGCAAACTTTTCCGATTCGTTACTAATTTTGTACCCGCTCTACCGTTACACTTGGATTCGTAGTTTCCAAACCATAAGCTGTATATTTTCCGTGTAAAGAAAACCACATATTTCTCTACGGTAATAAAAGGGACCATATTGCGTTTATAAAATTTAAGAGTAGAATGTTCCATAAAGTTATCTTTACAAGCTACATTGACAAATTCAGAAACATGAACATTTAGGAACGGCCATTTTAACGCATTTAACAATCCCACAAAAAGAAAGTTTTTATTAAAGCCGAATTATGTTCTTCCGTCGCGTTTAATATTACAGGAGGTAATTTTCTAACGAGTGAGCGAAAAATTGGATATTTTTATTCATGGTGGGCAGGAGCTAAAATTAGACTTTGAGGTTCACGGAAAATCAGTGAGAGAAAATCGTGACTTAAAAGCGGTCATTTCATACATGCTGTATTATTGTATGCAGCCGAAAGGAAGTTTGTTCGAAAGCCGGCCACCTGCTTTATCTAAAATGTTATAGAATTACGTTGCAGAGTGGCTTATTTTACATCTCTACATTATTAATATCTTTCGAAACGAAAACGCCTTTCGGAATTTCGGCTGAAATTTCAGGAGTTAGCCCACTTACTGTAATTACAATTTTGGAATCGTCGCCTGTGTGAAATAAACCGACAAACGCCAAGAAGCCCTCCTCCCGACAACGTCCTACCTCCTTTTATATTACTCACAGACCAACCAAGCTGTTTCACAGAATGGGTCAAAACCTATAGTGTAAGCGCAGACGTACGAACAAAATTTCATTCGGCACCTTTGTTAAGGGACGATCAACCGTCGTAAAAAAATTACCGTTTTGATATCTCGGGTGCTAGCTATAGGCCCAGAGAAGCATTTCCCATCGATCTTGTGCCGCTACATGAGGTACCTGCGAGGGGTTCGCTTCGAGTGCTTAAATGCCCTATGTGATTTAGCTGACAAGGGAGTGGACTGAGTGGAGAATCAATGTTTCGCAGGATGACTAACTGAGACCTTATTTCTGGTTTTACAATCAGCCGAACACGTACAGAAATCGCAACCAGATATTCCGAATACGACTCTGCGCACTCGCATTTATTGTGAAGGTCATTTGCAGTGTCATGATATCAGTGTCAAAAGTGCAGGAAAAATTTAGCCGCTGTCACTGCCGCCAAATTATCGAGCATTTTCATGCTCATTGAGAGCGTTCTAACGATCGCAAAACACCAACCAGTAGAATACGGGGCGCCTGAATTCG